TAATAATAATAATAATAATAATAATAATAATAATAATAATAATAATAATAATAATAATAATGGCAATAATAACAGTAATAATAATAACAATAACAATAACAATAATAATAATCGATCACAGTAGCAACCTGTAAAATTAAACTCATATAAAGATTACCCTCATGTTAATCTGTGACAGCAAACCCCGCAAATCGGTGTCTATGCTTATGGAGAAGATACACTACCTTCACAGATACTTTTTAAACAAGTTTTACGCAAATTAAGTTATTATTTACCGCATCGACTATGCTCTCGCTGCTGATTACACAGGGGTTAGTACAAAAAGCTGCCCGTATCCTTAGAAAACATATGGATCTCGGTGCCAGGATCATTCCGCCGGAATGCTGCGCGTTTGGGTGATGCATATTCGCTCAAAGCTATCATGGAAAGAATCCCAACAGCGAAAATGCATAACCAATAAAAAGGCAGCGGAAAACAGAAGATATATGACAAAATAAATATTCTAAAATAAGGCAAATCAAGCCTGCACAGCCAACAATTCGGAAATTATCGTAGGCTGAAAAAAATGAGAGATACTGAATGAGAGTATACCTGGTTCAAATAGGCAAAGTTTCGCATCGAGTGACAAAGACGGGGAGAATGATGGAAGAATGTAATTTTCGATATGTGTCTGTTTCAGGAAATATTGTTCGGGTGTGAAAAAGTTGATTCCAATGTTCAGCGCAAACAATCGATCAGCAGCCGAATGATCTTTCTTCCCACGAAGCTAAAAATCGCTCAACACATCAACAGCAAAAACACACACCGTCACACCTCCATCAGCTGCTTCTAGTTCGGGAAACATTTATCGCGGAATTTTAGGATCAGCAAAACTCCGAAGACATTCTTGAAATTCGAAAGATACGCCATTCCCCGGCACAGTTGGGCACAGTTGCAGGCAAAATAACGAACCGATGAACAGATGCGACCTGCTGCATCACCGACGTAGAATGAGCACTGTCGATTGATCGAAATGCCGCCATTTTCATACTTCTCAAAATGCTCCCACATACCCGTGCATGGCTTTCGATATTGCAACGAGCCCAGTGAAACGAAAACCTGAACGATGCTTGACTGGTCATCACCGGAAAATAAAGCTAAAAAAACAAAGCTTCTGCGTTTAATTACAATTCCACGAACTTCATCCTTCGCAAAAATAATGATTCGAGATCTCGTTTTGCAAAAATCTGTTGTCGTTCATGTATGTATGCATGTGTGGATAAGTGTGTATTTATTTATTTATATATGTGTGTATGTATGTATGTGTGTATGTATGTATGTATGT